TACATAGATTTTTGACATGTTGTTTGACACTTGCATTGTTGTTAAGTGTCAATTGGATGGGTAAACTATTTGAAATTTAAACTGTCCAATAGGGTAATGTCACGTGGCAAAGTGTAAACTAAAGTGTACACCATTGTGTACATATAGCAAGGTTCTTACCGATTGAACTTTGCTATTTGTACACTGAATTTTGACACTTGTATTGTTGTCAAGTATCAATTGGATGAAAAAATCGTTTGAAATTTAAACTGTCTACTGGGGCGATGTCATGTGGCAAAGTGTAAACTCAAGTATACATCATATTGTACATCTAGCAAGGTCCATACCAATTGAACTTTGCTATTTGTAAACTGATTTTTGGCACATTGTTTGACACCTGCATTGTTGTCAAGTGTCAATTGGATGGGAAAACTATTTTAAATTTAAACTGTCCACCAGTGTAACATCAAGTGCCAAAGTGTAAACTAAAGTGTACACCACGGTGTACATGTAACAAGGTCCTTACCGATTTAACTTTGCAATTTGTACACTGATTTTTGACACGTTGTTTGACACTTGAATTGTTGTCAAGTATCAATTAGATGGGAAAACTATTTGAAATTTAAACTGTCCAACAAGGTAATGTCATGTGGCATAGTGTAAACTAAAGTGTACACTATAATGTACATGTCGCTAGGTTCTCATCGATTGATCTCTACTATTTGTAAATTGATTTTTGACACGTTGTTTGACACATGCATTGTTTTCAAGTGTTAATTGAATGGGAAAACTATTTGATACATGTAGCAAGGTATTCTCGATTCAACTTTGCTATTTGTACACTGATTTTTGACACTTGCATTGCTGTGAAACATCAATTGGATGGGAAAACTATTTGAAATTTAAATCGTCTAAAAGGGTAATGTTTTGTGGCAAAGTGTAAACTAAAGTGTACACCACAGTGTACATATAGCAAGGTTCTTATCGATTGAACTTTGCTCTTTGTACACTGATTTTTGACACGTTGTTTAACACTTGCATTGTTGCTAAGTATCAATTGGATGGGAGAACTATTTGAAATTTAAGCTGTCCAATAGGGTAATGTCATGTGGCAAAGTGAAACAAAAGTGTACCCCATAGTGTACATGTTGCAAGGTCCTTACCGATTGAACTTTGCTATTTGTGATCTGATTTTGACACGTTGTTTGACACTTGCATTGTTGTCATGTTTCAATTGGATGGGAAAACTGTTTGAAATTTAAACTGTTCTACAGGGTAATGTCACGTGGCAAAGTGTAAACTAATGTGTACACCATAGTGTACATCTAGTAAGTCCATACCAATTGAAATTTACTATTTGTAAACTGATTTTTGGCACATTGTTTGACACCTGCATTGTTGTGAAGTGTCACTTGGACGGGAAAACTATTATAAATTTAAACTATCCAACAGTGTAATATCTCGTGGCAAAGTGTAAACCAAAGTGTACACCATGGTGTAAATGTAGCAAGGTCCTTACCGATTGAACGTTGCTATTTGTACACAGATTTTCGACACGTTGTTTAATGCTTGCATAGTTGGCAAGTGTCAATTGGTTGGAAAAACTGTTTGAAATTTAAATTGTGCAAAGTGTAAACTAATGTGTACACCATAGTGTACATGAGGCAAGGTCATTAGCGATAGAGCTTTACTATTTGTCCACAGATTTTCGACACGTTGTTTGACACTTACATTGTTGTCAAGTGTTAATTGGATGGAAAAACTAATTGAAATTTAAACTATCCAATAGGGTAATGTGACATGGGAAAGTGTAAACTAAAGTGTACACTAGAGTGCACATCTGTCGTGGTCCTTACCGATAGAACTTTACTATTTGTACACTAATTTTCGACACGTTGTTTAATACTTACATTGTCATCAACTGTCAATTGGATGGGAAAATTTTTTGAAATTTAAACTACCCAACAGGGTAATGATACATGGCAAAGTGTAAACTAAAGTGCACACAGAGTGTACATGTCGTGAGGTTCTTACCGATTGAACTTTGCTATTTGTACACTGATTTTTGGCACGTTGTGTCACAATTGCATTCTTGTCAAGCATCAATTGGATGGGAAAACTATTTGAAATTTAAACTGTCCAACAGGGTAATGTCACATTACAAAGTGTAAACTGAAGTATACACCATAGTGTACAAATCGCAGGGTTCTTACAGATCGAACTTTGCTATTTGTACCCATATTTTTGACACGTTGTTTGACACCTGCATTGTTGTCATGTGTCAATTAGGAAGGAAAATTGTTCGAAATTTAAACTGTCCAATAGAGAAATGTCACGTGGCAAAGTGTAAACTAAAGTGTATACCCTAGAGTCCATGTGGCAAGGTCCTTGCCTATTGAACTTTGTTATTTGTACACTGATTTTTGACATGTTGTTTGACACTTACCTTGTTGTCAACTGTCAATTGGATGGGAAAACTATTTGAAATTTAACTACAGAAAATTAGCTTGCAGATCTGTTCACTAAACCTTTAGATGGTTTGAGATTCGAGTCACTTGGGAAGGCTATTAGTGTTTGTGTACCTCCTTGACAAGTTTTATAGGAACATTCATGTACAATTCACATCCGCGTCCATTTTTGCATTCATTTCATTGCATGTTCATTTTGTTTGTATTTATCTTCTTCATATGTTTGTCATCTCTTCATTAAAAAAATAAAAAATACAAAAATTAAATAAAAAATACAAAAATTGTGGTGGCACAACTGTGTGGCGCATTCATGTTAAAAGAATTTAAATTAAAAAATAAAAAATAAAAAGGGGGGAAATTTCTAAAGCTTGATATATAATTCTAAAACTTGTATGTTGTGACCATGTATGAGCTAAAATGGAAAAGTTGTAGCATTATTTCCATTGGTTGTTTAGGTCATCATGGAGTACTTAGTATATGTGTCTTCATATACCATCTGCACTGCACACACTATGAATTTGTTAGTGGAACTCTACCGTGTGTGTGAGATTTGGGATGGCTGTCACATGTTAATAAGGTGACTTTGAACATGAATTGACCATTATTTAGTAGACCTAAACCCAAAAATAATCCTCCCATTATAATAAGCTCATATCTTAATGTTCTTCTTCGGGGCCTATTTGACTCGAGCAATTAAGCCTGCGGAGTCCTATAAAACTTGGTGCCTATGGTCAACTAACTTGGGTTAACCGGCCTAAAGCTCGCTACAGGGGTCATCTTAGTCGTCTAATGGAGAAGAACTTGCACTTAAGATGAAAAATTAATGAGCTAGAAAAATGAGAAACATGTGTCAAATATGGAGAGCTGGAATAATATGAAAATCTGAAAAATATAGAAGTTCATAGTAAGGGGAGATAAGTAAATATGATAAGAATAGGTCTTACTGCACATTACATTGTTTGACTTTCATTAGTAGGAGAATATACTTATTAGCAGTGATTGACATGTCCCTTCTCACAAAATTAAGGTTTGGAGTCTTGCTTGCATTTGATTAGTGACACTTTACACACGAGTCACTTATATTTTTATTACTTCATTTTGGACTGAACTAAGTATGTGGAGAGGTATACTACTTGTTAATTTTGCTTTTACATGCTATCAACTGCATTTTTAATAGTTATGTGTTATTGCTCGACTTGGTCTTAATGTGATTCCCTTCGACATTTGTAACAAAAAGGGGGAGAGAAAATGTATATACTGAGGGGGAGAAAATGGAAAATGAGAGCATGCACATAAGAGAACTATTGCATATGCATGCACATTTTGTTGATTGACATTACTTGCATTACATTGCTATGTCTAGGGGTCGTTGGAGAGAGACATAGATACATTTACCTACTGCATAAAAATATGAAAGTTTGCAGTAAGGGGGAGTGTTACATTACATTCCATATCACATTCATAGCTGTTTGAGTTTTGATGTTTAGTGATGTTAATGTTTCGGTTGGCGTTTTGATTGACATTTATGTTACGTCTTAAACTAGCATGTTAATTAGTGATTAAGTGCTTTAATTTCTATATTTCCTGTATCACATGCTTTTACACTGGGTATGTGAGTTTTTGGATTTCAGGAAACATGTACAACAAGGAATGCAAGACTCGGTGACTCGAATGCTGGGAAGTTTAGGTTGTTTTGATTGATTGTAATTCCTTGACTTGAATTTGTATAGTTTTGTCATAGAACACCAAAGGGGGAGATTGTTAGGTCTAAAATTGTAATTGGCATTCTATGAACAAAAAGGGACTTAATTGAACATGTTTAAAAGTTAAGGCTTGATGTGCAATATTGTATAGTTGTTAGGGTTTGTTTGTGTATGGAAAAGGAGTCAGCCAAAAATTATATATATACACAACAGAAAATGGCAAAAGGCGTGGCTGCTGGGGGAATTAAAAAAAAGGGGGCTGCTGCTTGAGGAATAAAATAATGGAGGCTGCTAATTAAATTATCTTTATCACATGCATGAGAGACAAAGCAGATTTGAAGAATTTGTAGCCACCGAATTGGGTATATTTATTCACGAAAAGCTGAAGCAAATTTGGGGTTGAATTGGACAAATACACGTGCTGTTGGAAGTCCAAAGTTGTGGCAGTTTTCTGGTAATATACTTAATCAATACACAACCACTTGGGGTTCATTTGAAAAGTCAACAATTGATGGCTATCTTTATTGTGTATATTCACAACATTGTTGGCAGTAGTTTTTGAAGGATTTTGTGGACAAGAATTCTGGAATTAAGAAGTTACTAGCTGCTGAATTTTTATATATACACACAACATTATTTGCTGCAGTTTTTAAGAAAATTAGAGATTGCCATATTGCTCTTACATTGAGAAACATCCTCCCATATTCTTTCAAGAGATTCAAGGAGTGCTTCAAGAGATTAATTCATCTTCTTCGTTCTTGTAATCCGACAATCTGTTGTGTGGGGAAACCATCAAAGTTAGTGAAGACAAAACACCATGGTTCCTTAATCCTTTGAGGAACGGATTCTCTCATTGGAGGATTGAGAGAGGTGGACGACAAGCGTAGGAACTGGACAAGAATAGGAGGTTCTTGGAATTCCACTTGGTGATACAATCAGCTAAAAACCAGGAGGCTGTATTGGATAGCAGATTGGGCTGCAGGAGATAGATCGGGAAACTAGTAGGAGATTAGCAGTATCTACGACAGTAGATAGTGGGACTGGAACAGCGGGTCTAACTGGTTACGGAGTTTGACAGAACTTGTATTTGTCTGATTGGTATAGTGGAAACTATTGGCTTGGTCCTGGAGTTTTACCCACATTGGGGTTTCTCCGTCATCAAACAATTGTGTTATTTATATTTCTGTAATTTACTTATTTCCAGTAATTCAACGTAGGATAAAAAAGCATGGGAATTGATTTGGACACATTAATAATTGTGACTTGTTGCATTTATTAATTAATTTGTAAAATTCCGCATAAACACCTATTCACCTCCCCTCTAGGTATTATTTGGGTCAAACTATATTATTTCAAGGGTACAAATAGCTAAGTTCAATCGGTAAGAACCTTGCTATATGTACACTATGGTGTACACTTTAGTTTACACTTTGCCACGAGACATTGCCATGTTGGACAATTTAAATTTCAAATAGTTTTCTCATCCAATTGACATTTGACAACAATGCAAGTGTCAAACAACGTGACAAAAATCAGTGTACAAATAGCAAAGATTAATTGGTAAGAACCTTACGACATGTACACTTTAGTTTACACTTTGCCACGTGACATTTTTCCCATCCAATTGATACTCAACAATAATGCAAGTGTCAAACAACGTGTCAAAAATCAGTGTACAAATAGCAAAGTTTAATCGATAAGAACCTTGCTATATGTACACTATCGTGTACACTTTAGTTTACACTTTGCCACGTGATATTACACTGTTGGACAGTTTAAATTTCAAACAATTTTCCCGTCCAATTGCCACTTGACCATAATACAAGTGTGAAACAACGTATCAAAAATCAGTGTGCAAATAGTAAAGTTCAATAGGTAAGAACTATGCGACATGTAAACTATAGTGTGCACTTTAGTTTACACTTTGCCAGATATCGTTACCCTATTGGGTAGTTTAAATTTCAATTAGTTTTCCCATCCAATTGACGCTTGACAACAATTCAAGTGTCAAACAACGTGTCGAAAATCAGTGTACAATTAGCAAAGTTTAATTGGTAAGGACCTTGCTACATGTACACCATGGTGTACACTTTACTTTACACTTTGCCACGTGACATTACACTGTTGGACAGTTTAAATTTCAAATAATTTTCCCATCCAACTGACACTTGACAACCATAAATGTGTCAAACGACGTGCCAAAAATTAGTTTACAAATAGCAAAGTTCAATCGGTATGGACCTTACTAGATGTACACTATGGTGTACACTCGAGTTTACATTGGACTCAACAAGTTCACGGATGAAGTGATGACGAATATCAATATGTTTAGTCCTAGAATATTGAATAGGATTTTTGGAGATGTTGATAGCGCTGGTGTTATCACAAAACACGGTTATGGTGCCCTGATTTATCCCATAATCACTCAACATTTGCTTCATCCAAAGCAATTGAGTGCAGCAGCTATCGACTGCAATGTATTCTGTCTCGGCTATAGACAGAGAAACTGATTTTTGTTTCTTACTCATCCATGACACAAGATTAGAATCAACATAGAAGCATCCACCCGAGGTACTCTTCCTATCATCGGCATTTCCAGCCCAATCGGCATCAGAATAGTCGGCGAGTTCAAGATTTGACTCTCTAGAAAATAAGATCCCATGATTTATAGTCCCATTCACATACCTAATGATACGTCTCACTGTACTAAAATGGGATTCCTTAGGATCTGCTTGAAATCTCACACACACGCCAACACTGAAAGCTATGTCAGGTCTACTGGCTGTAAGGTAGAGTAAGCTACCTATCATACTCCTATACAATGTCTGATCAACACTTCTACCTATAGGATCATGACCTAACTTAGCACTTGTGCTCATAGGTGTCCTTGTGTATTTTTTACTATCCAGTCCAAATCGCTTAACTAGGTCTTTGGCATACTTTGATTGAGAGTTAAACAACCCATAATCACTTTGCTTTACTTGAAGGCCAAGGAAGTAACTTAGCTCTCCAACCATACTCATTTCAAATTCTCATTTCATACATTCAGCAAATTCATGAGCAAGGGAGTCAATGGGAGAGCCAAACACAATATCATCAACATAGATCTGTGCTATAGTTATGGTTTCTTCAATATGTCTAATGAATAGAGTTCTGTCTGCACCACCTCGTGAAAAACCATGATCAACGAGATATGTAGTGAGTCTATCATACCGAGCTCTAGGAGCTTATTTCAGACAATACAAGGCTTTATTCAATTTGTAGACATAATGAGGAAACTTAGGATCGATGAATCCTTTGGGCTATTCAACATATGCCTCTTCTTGAAGTATTCCATTCAAAAAGGCACTCTTGACATCCATTTGATACAGTTTGAACCCTAAAGTACAAGCAACCGCAAGAAGGATGTGAATGGACTCAAGACGTGCAACAGGGGCAAATGTCTCATCAAAATCTACCCCTTCAACCTGAGTGTACCCCTGAGCAACTAGCCTAAGGGTCAAATGTCTCATCAAAATCTACCCCTTCAACCTGAGTGTACCCCTGAGCAACTAGCCTAGCCTTATTTCTTGTTATGGTACCCTAGTCATCAGTCTTGTTCTTGAAAATCCACTTAGTACCTATCACATTGCAATCATCAGGCCTAGGCACTAGATACCAAACATTGTTTCGAACAAATTGATTAAGCTCCTCATGCATTGCATTCACCCAGCATTCATCTTTAAGAGCTTCCTCAACTTTCTTAGGCTCAATCTGGGATACATAACTTGTATAGGTTAGGTTATTCAGAACTCTCTTTCTTAACCTCATACCTTCATCTAGATCCCCAATGATGTTGACCTTAGGATGGTTAGATTTGACCCTGGATGATGGTTCTCTAGGAAGCTTAGTTTATTCACGAGGTGAAGGATCCTTAACAGAAATGTCTATGCCTTTGGGGAATAGCGAAGATTTTGGAATTGATTGTTCTTTATCTTCGGTTGTGGGTCCTTGATCATCACTTAGATCATCTAATCTACCCCATTTTCAATACTCTCTTCCTTATAGAAAGCATCATCAACAACAACATTTATAGACTCCATGACATTCTGAGTACGTAAGTTGTATACTCGATAGGCTCTACTATTCCTAGAGTACCCTAGAAAAAACCCTTCATCACTTTTGGAATCAAACTTGCCTCGATTTTCTCTATCCCTCATAATGTAACACTTGTTGCCAAACACCCGAAAGTATTTAACATTAGGCTTTTTGCCTTTCCATATCTCATAGGGAGTCTTGTTTGATTTCGGTCTCAAGTATACCCTATTTACTATGTGGCATGTGGTGTTAATAGCTTCATCCCAGAAATGCATTGCTAGATCCTTGCCGTGAAGCATGGCTCTAGCCATTTCCTGTAGCACTCTATTTTTCCTCTCAACAACCCCATTTTGTTGTGGAGTGATTGGTGAGGAGAACTCATGCTGAATTCCCTCCTCCAAACAGAAGTTTTCAAGATTAGAGTTTTCAAACTCTTTTCCATGATCACTTCGAATCCTAGAAATCGAAAGATTTTATTCAATTCTGAGTCTTTTACACAAAGATTTAACCAGATCACAAGTCTCGAATTTTTCTCTTAGTAGCTCAATCCAGGTGTATGTAGAGAAGTTGTCTACTACAACAAGAATATAACGTTGACCTCCCAGACTCTCAATTCTAGAAGGTCCCATTAAATCCACATGGAGAAGTTCTAATGTTTTGTCAGTCAAGATTTTAGATGTTCGTTTATGGTTTATCCTAAGTTGTTTTCCTTGTCGACACGGCTTGCACACAACATTTAAAACTCACTTCATAGTCAGCATCACAAATTTGACTAATGCTCAACAGATTGGACTTAAGACCCTCTACATAAAGCACATTAGATATAGTAGGAAGTCCAGATATGTTGATGGTGCCTTTACCATGGATAGGTGCCGTACCCCTGTCTCCAAAGGTAACTACACCACTGTTGTAGTCATCAAAGGTAGAGAATAAGGCCTTATTACCGCACATGTGTCTAGAACAAGCACTATCAAGATACCACATACATGTATTTTGAGCCTTATATGCAACATGAGCTACAGAACAATTTGAATTCTCACCATACCTACCCACATCAGATTTCTTGACCCAAACTTTTCTAGAGGTCAAGGTGATCCTAGTCAATTTTGTCACCATCTTAGTTAAGTGACTAACCTGATTTGAAAGGAAGTTTACTTGACTAGGGATATCCTGACTTCTATTTCTATTTGCTAGCTTATGACACCTAGGTCCCGTGTGTCCTAAAGCACCACAGTGATGACAAATGGGTATGAACCTAGGCTCAAATGCATGTGATGGTTGGTGCTGAAATTTTGGTGTGGAAATCTTACGGGCTCTAGTTGCATTCAGTTCAGTGACACTCTTACTTTTGGATTCATGATTGATTGAAATACTAGAATAGTTGGAAGCAGGCACGAATGTGGTCTTGGATGAACTAGTCACGTTGCTATCACTCTTCACAAATCCTAGACCTTACCTATTCCCAGTGGGTTTGTTCATTCCTAACGGGTCATCTAGTTTCTTAGTCCCACTCATAAAAGACTGCAGTTGAATATTAGATTTCTCTAACTCACAAGTTAGTGTCTTAACCCTGTCCTCTAGCTTTTCATTGACACACTTCAACTCACTAAGGTTTTTAGATGAGACATGAAGATCATTAGTGAGTCTCTCTTTCTCTCTCTCAAGCTCGTCTACCTTCTTAAATAGGGCCTTATTTACCTTTTTAATCTTGAGACTCTCTTTAAACAGAAGTTGATAAGCCTCATGTATATCCGTCTCATCCTCAGTCTCGTCACTAGACTTCTCACTCTCTACATCCTCCTCAACCTTCTCACCATCCTTATCTGACTCACTCTTAACTGTAGATACAAAAGCCATATAACCTTTTTCATCTTCACTACTGGAGGTATACCTTTGATCACTTGAGTTTGATTCATCATCAGTCAATGACACAGCTAATGCTTTGCTCCTTCCCTTTTTTAGATTTTTCTTAAAGTTGGGACATTCATTTCTATAGTGCCCAAATCCCTGACACTCATGGCACCTAACAACTTGAGATTTCTTACTAGACTTCCTAGCAATTGGTTTATCACTTTTCTCTTTTTGGAATTTACTAGGGACTCCTCTATTTTTGTCTTGGGACCATCTCTTGTCCTTTAAAGCTTTCTGGAACTTCTTTAGGAAGTAAGCTATTTTCTCATCTTTAAGGGTTTCTATGTCAGACGACTCAGACTCTTCTTTTCCAACTGTGTTCAGCGCTATGGACTTGTTTTTCTTAGGTTGTGAGATAGTGAGTTCATAGGTTTGAAGGGGCTGTAACCTTAGGTCTAAATCTCTCGGGCAAAGACCTAAGAACCTTTCTCACAATTTTTGACTCGGGAATCTTCTCACCTAGATTGAAACTAGAATTTACAATGTCATTCAATTTTGCATAAAACTCATCAAACGATTCATCATCCTTCATCCTGATTTCTTCAAACCTCGAGGTTAGCATTTGTAATTTTGAATTTTTCAGGATTTTAGTTCCCTCATGCATAGTCTCTAGAATGTCCCATACTTCTTTAGTAGTCTCACACATTGACACCCTTCTAAATTCTTCGGGAGACATGGCCATAAACAAGGCATGAAGTCCTTTGCTATTCCAATTGCAATCAGCTAATTCTTCCATTGTCCAAAGTGAAATATCAGTTAGATTGACAACACCTGACACAGTTGTGGAAGGAGGTTTCCAACCATTTTGTACACTCACCCAAACACGTTCATCTAAGGACTTGAGAAAAGTACGCATCCTAACCTTCCAGTAGGCATAGTTGCTTCCGTCAAAATACGGAGGCACAGACAGTGATTGACTCATCTAGACAACAATGGGTCAGGACTCGAGTTTTAGTTCTGATACCACTTGAAATAACGTAGTTTGACCCAAATAACACCTAGAGGGGGGTGAATAGGTGTTTATGTGAAATTTACAAATTAATTAATAAATGCAACAAGTCAAATTATTAATATGTCCAAGTCAATTCACATGCTTTACTATCCTACATTGAATTACCGAAAATAAGTAAATTGTAGAAATATAAAGAATATAATTGTTTGATGATGGAGAAACCTCAATGTGGGTAAAACTCCGGGACCAAGCCAGTAGTTTCCACTATACCAATCAGGCAAGTACAAGTTCTGTCAAACTCCATACCCAGTCAGACCCGATGTTCCAGTCTCACTATCTACTGCTGTAGATACTGCTCCTGTTAGCTTCTCGATCTATCTCCTACAACCCAATCTGCTATCCAATACAGCCTCCTGGTCTTTAGTTGATTGTATTACCAAGTAGAATTCCAAGAACCTCTTGTTCTTGTTCAGTTCCTATGCTTATCGTCCACCTCTTTCAATCCTCCAATGAGAGAGTCCGTTCCTCAAAGGATTGAGGAACCGTGGTGTTTTGTCTTCACAAACTTTGATGTTTTCCCCACACAACGGATTGTCAGATTACAAGAACGAAGAAGATAATTAATCTCTTGAAGCACTCCTTGGATTTCTTGAAAGAATATGGGAGGATGTTTCTCAATGTAAGAGCAATATGGCAATCTCTAATTTTCTTAAAAATTGTAGCAAATAATGTTGTGTGTATATATAAAAATTCAGCAGCTAGTAACTTCTTAATTCCAGAATTCTTGTCCACATAATCCTTCAAAAACTACTGCCAATAATGTTGTGAATATACACAATAAAGATAGCCATCAATTGTTGACTTTTCAAATGAACCCCAAGCGGTTGTATATTGATTAAGTATATTACCAGAAAACTGCCACAACTTTAGACTTTCAATAGCACGTGTATTTGTCCAATTCAACCCCAAATTTGCTTCAGCTTTTCGTGAATATATATACCCAATTCGACGGCTGCAAATTCTTCAAATCTACTTTGTCTCTCATGCATGTGATAAAGATAATTTAATTAATAGCCTCTATTATTTTATTCCTCAAGTAGCAGCCCTTTTTTTTAATTCCCCCAGCAGCCACGCCTTTTGCCATTTTCTGTTGTGTATATATATAATTTTTGGCTGACTCCTTTTCCATACACAAACCAAACCCTAACAACTAAAAAATATTGCACATCAAGCCTTGACTTTTAAACATGTTCAATTAAGTCCCTTTCTGTTCATAGAATGCCAATTACAATTTCAGACCTAACAATCCTAATTTTTGACACGTTGTTTGACACTTGCATTGTTGTCAAGTATCAATTGGATGGAAAAACTGTTTGAAATTTAAGCTGTCCAACAGGGCAATTTCACGTGGCAAAGTGAAAACTAAAGTGTACATCATAGTGTACATATAGCAAGGTCCTTACCGATTGAACTTTGGTATTTGTAATCTGATTTTTGACACGTTATTTGACACTTGTATTGTTGTTAAGTGTTAATTGAATGGGAAAACTATTTGATACATGTAACAAAGGTCTTACCGATTAAACTTTCCTATTTGTACACTGATTTTTGACACTTGCATTGCTGTGAAGTGTCAATTGGATGGAAAAATTGTTTGAAATCTAAACTGTCCAGCAGGGTGATGTCACATGGTAAAGTGTAAACTAAAGTGTACACCATGGAGTACAATTGGCATGGTCCTTACCGATTGAACTTTGCTATTTGTACACTGATTTTCGACACGTTGTTTGATACATGCATTGTTGTCAAGTGCCAATTGGATGGGAAAATTGTTTGAAATTTAAACTGTCCAATATAGGAATGTCACGTGGCAAAGTGCAAACTAAAGTGTACACCATAGTGTATATGCAGAAAGGTTCTTATCGATTGAACTTTGTTATTTGTACACTGATTTTCGACACGTTGTTTGACACTTGCATTGTTGTCAAGTTTCAATTGGATGAAAAAACTATTTGAAATTTAAACTATCCTACATGGTAATGTCACGTGGTAAAGTGTAAACCAAAGTGTACGTGTAGCAAGGTTCTTACCGATTGAACTTTGATATTTGTACATTGATTTTTGACACGTTGTTTGACACTCGCATTGTTATTAAGTATCAATTGGATGGGAAAACTATTTGAAATTTAAATTGTCCAATAGGGTAATGTCACGTGGTAAAGTGTAAACTAAAGTGTACACCATAGTGTATATGTCATAAGGTTCTCACTCATTGATCTTTGCTATTTGTACACTGATTTTTGACACGTTGTTTGACACTTGCACTGTTGTCAAGTGTCGATTGGATGAGAAAACTATTCAAAATTTAAACTGTCCAACATGGTAATGTCTCCTGGCAAAGTGTAAACTAAAGTGTACACCATAGTGTACATATAGCAAGGTTCTTACCGATTGAACTTAGCTATTTGTACCCTAATTTTTGACACGTTGTTTGACACTTGCATTGTTGTCAAGTATCAATTGGATGGTAAAACTATTTGAAATTTAAGCTGTTCAACAGGGTAATGTCACATGGCAAAGTGAAAACTAAAGTGTACATCATAGTGTACATATAGCAAGGTCCTTACTGATTGAATTTTGCTATTTGTAATCTGATTTTTGACACTTTGTTTGACACTTGCATTGTTGTCACGTGTTAATTGAATGAGAAAACTGTTTGATACATGTAGTAAGGGTCTTACCGATTGAACTTTCCTATTTGTACACTGATTTTTGACACTTGCATTGCTATGAAGTGTCAATTGGATGGGAAAATTGTTTGGAATTTAACTGTCCAACAGGGTGATGTCACGTGGTGAAGTGTAAACTAAAGTGTACACCATGGAGTACAATTAGCAAGGTCCTTACCGATTGAACTTTGCTATTTGTACACTGATTTTTGACACATTGTTTGATACTTGCATTCTTGACAAGTGCCAATTGGATGGGAAAATTGTTTGAAAGTTAGACTATCCAATATAGGAATGTCACGTGGCAAAGTGTAAACTAAAGTGTATACCACAGAGTACATGTAGCGAGGTTCTTACCAATTAAACTTTGATATTTCTACATTGATTTTTGACGCGTTGTTTGACACTTGCATTTTTGTCAATTGTCAATTGGATGGAAAAACTATTTGAAATTTAAACTATCCAAAAGAGTAATGTCACGTGACAAAGTGTAAAATAAAGTGTACACCATGCAGTACAATTAGCAAGGTCCTTACTGATTGAACTTTCCTATTTGTACACTGATTTTCGACACGTTGTTTGATACTTGCATTCTTGTCAAGTGCCAATTGGATGGGAAAACTGTTTGAAATTTAAACTATCCAATATAGGAATGTCACGTGGCAAAGTGTAAACTAAAGTATATACCACAGAGTACATGTAGCAAGGTTCTTACCAATTGAACTTTGATATTTCTACATTGATTTTTGAAATGTTGTTTGACACTTGCATTGTTGTCAATTGTCAATTGGATGGAAAAACTATTTGAAATTTAAACTGTCTAAAAGAGTAATGTCACGTGGCAAAGTGTAAACTAAAGTGTACATGTAGCAAGGTTCTTACCGATTGAACTTTGATATTTGTACATTGATTTGTAACACGTTGTTTGGCACTTGCATTGTTGCCAATTGTCAATTTGATGGGAAAACTGTTTGAAATTTAAATTGTCCAACAAGGTATTGTCCCATGGCAACGTGTAAACTAAAGTGTACACCATAGTGTACATGTAGCAAGGTTCTTACCGATTGAACTTCAATATTTGTACATTGATTTTTGACACGTTGTTTGACACTTACATTGTTGTCAAGTGTCAATTGGATGGGAAAACTGTTTGAAATTTAAATTGTCCAACAAGGTATTGTCCCATGGCAACGTGTAAACTAAAGTGTACACCATAGTGTACATGTAGCAAGGTTCTTACCGATTGAACTTCAATATTTGTACATTGATTTTTGACACGTTGTTTGACACTTACATTGTTGTCAAGTGTCAATTGGATGGGAAAACTGTTTGAAATTTAAATTGTCCAACAAGGTATTGTCCCATGGCAACGTGTAAACTAAAGTGTACACCATAGTGTACATGTAGCAAGGTTCTTACCGATTGAACTTCAATATTTGTACATTGATTTTTGACACGTTGTTTGACACTTACATTGTTGTCAAGTGTCAATTGGATGGGAAAACTGTTTGAAATTTAAATTGTCCAACAAGGTATTGTCCCATGGCAACGTGTAAACTAAAGTGTACACCATAGTGTACATGTAGCAAGGTTCTTACCGATTGAACTTCAATATTTGTACATTGATTTTTGACACGTTGTTTGACACTTACATTGTTGTCAAGTGTCAATTGGATGGGAAAACTGTTTGAAATTTAAATTGTCCAACAAGGTATTGTCCCATGGCAACGTGTAAACTAAAGTGTACACCGTAGTGTATATGTAGAAAGGTTCTTATCGATTGAACTTTCTTATTTGTACACTGATTTTCGACACGTTGTTTGACACTTGCATTGTTGTCAAGTGTCAATTGGATGAAAAAACTATTTGAAATTTAAACTATCCCACATGGTAATGTCATGTGGCAAAGTGTAAACCAAAGTGTACATGTAGCAAGGTTCTTACCGATTTAACTTTGCTATTTGTACACTGATTTTTTACACGTTGTTTAACACTTGCAATGTTGTCAAGTGTAAATTGGATGGGAAAAATGTTTGAAATTTAAACTGTCCAATAGGATAATGCCACGTGGTAAAGTGCAGACTAAAGTGTATACCATAGTGTATATGTATCAAGGTTCTTACCGATTGAACTTTGCTATTTGTACACTGATTTTTGACATGTTGTCTGACACTTGTATTGTTATCAAGTGTCAATTGGATGGTAAAACTATTTGAAATTTAAACTGTCCAATAGGGTAAT